GGCCGAGCTCATCACCACTCACACTTGCCTGAGAGTGAGGCACAGAGCCAGCAGAACCGACTGCCGATACCAGACCCACCGACTGTATGCGACCTACTGCCACCTGCCGACCTTAACTCGGACACCTGGACCAGCAGTCATCGATTTCAGGACAGAGTGCAGTCGAGCAGACCAACAAGGCCAACTTGTGACAGCCCAAGTGGAGCACGGCCCCGACGGGCAGAACGGTAGCTAGCAGCACCGCCGACCACCAAGCACCACACCAGACGCAGCAGCATGTGATCGGCGATACCAGCATGGCTGCAACTGTGCGCAACATGATCACGGACCACAACACCGAAGGGGACGCTCCCCACACCAGCGAACGCAAGTCAGCAACGACACCGCCCGCAGACGGACACCCCAGCGTCATCCACCAGGGCGAACAGCAAGTGACGGACAAGAAGGCTCTTCCACTCTACGGCCCCGACCCGTGGAGACCATGGCCGACCGACGCAGACGGCGTCCAAGGTGATCAACCAGACCAGCACGACCCACCTACCGGAATCAGACGACTTCCTCCTGATCGCCAACAAGACGAGGCAATCTTCGCGATCGGACCGGCCTCACGGCGGCCGATCAGTGCGACACTTCCTTGTACAGTGCATTTGCTTCATGCAGGCAGGACCGCCATCTGCCACACACCCACTCCTACCTCTCAAATATCCCTGTTAGCCGATACGTACGCATTCACCGTGAAGATGGAAACAGCACAGCTGGTGGTATGGGAGCCAACTGTCGTTTTTGGCAACTCTACAGAGTGAACATCAGTGGCGACTGCGTTCAGCGTGGGTCCCCACGGCTTTCTCACCCACTCGAACTCAGACAATTGTTGCAAGAAACCCGTGGGTCCCCGAGGGGCTCCATCACCCACGGCGTAAGAGGACTCCACCAACCTCCAATGCCCACCCTACCGGCTCACCTTCTTGCAGCCCTCACTCCCCCCGTTGGTTCCATCTAATTTTCGCCTTCCCCGCCTCTCGTTTTGGGGCATGGGTTGGGTATGTATGTGAGCGGGAGGGGGCTCGGACTCACCGCGGGCCGCCCTGGCAACGGACAGGGCGGCCGCGGCCACAACTGGCCATTAGGGCAGCGTCCATCAGGGCAGCGACCCAACCTCTGCCGCCAGGACTCTACCCCCACTGTTTCGTCAGTTTCTCATCCCCACCTCGAACCTCCACTGTCAGATCCCAGCAGCTGCGGTCCCTGACAGCCTGCTGCGCTATGGGACGGGGTTGCGGATGCGCGCTTGGGGTGGGAAGGATCAGCAAACCGCGCACCCGCGCCACCGCCACAGATGGCAGAAACCACACCCACGCACGGTGGAAAAGCCCCCGTGATCCGGGTACCCTACTGCTGCCTCGGCGGGGGAGGGTACCAGTCATGAGGATGGTGGCTGCTGGGGGGGGGCGCTTCCTGTATGCAGGGGGTGAGGCCCTTCTGCCACCCACCTTGGCGAGACTGGCCGGCGCTGCCTCGCGCCACCATTGGGGGGAGGGCTCAAACTCGGATATAGCAAGGACCCCAGATAAGAGGACCCGGTTAGTGGTAGGGCCCCGGGGCCCCTAAATTAGCCAGAATCACTAAACCAGGTCTGCCGTAGCTGGTGTTTTTCGGGTGACGGCAGTTCCGGCTAGTGGAATGGGGCGGGGGGGCGTCCCCCAGTACACATCACTAAACCAGGTCCCACTAAACCCAGTTCTGCCAACGCCCGACAAACCTCCCTCGCGCTCGGTGGAAGCCCCCAGGGCCAAGAGGCCGACGAGCTGGGAGCTCGCCGCCTGCTTACGGGCTGAGGTATCCCGCCGTCGGCCTCTGCGGGCACCTGCGGGGGCCTCCTGTGGGCAGAAGGGGGAAGCCCGGGGGCCTCTTTCCCGCCGCGGGCGGCACCCCGCAGAGGGCCCCGCGCTCCTGCTGCCTCCAGCTTGTAGCACCCTGCCTCGGCACCTCCGCGGACCTCCCGCTCTCTGTGCCAGCACCTCCGCTCGTCTACCGTTGGCGTCTTTTCCCGCTTCCCCTGTGTAGCTCTAGCTCTGCCGACGAGTTTCGCTCGCCTTGTTGCCACCACCTCGCTGCCAGGACAGCGAGTCGCTCCCTCGTGTCCTCTGCATGACAAGGCACCCCTCCAGGGGGGGGGGGCATGGGGCACCCTCCAGGGCGGCGGCCTAGTGGGGCCTCGTGGCCCAAAAGAGGGGGGACCCACGCAAGGCCCGGACGGGGCTCCAACCAGAGAGCCACAAACCGCCCACGCTGCTACTTTGCCACAGCCTCCCGTTTCGTGTCCCTTCCTCTTGGGGGTGTGAGTTGATGTGATGATGACATGTCCTCTCGTTCTTCCTTCCCTCCTGTCCTGCTGGACCTCGGCCCCAGATTGCACGTTTAAGTCAACACCCCCATGAGGGGGCCAGACCAGGCCTCCATGGGGGGGGGGCGGGGGCGATCGGAGACCTCCATTGCCGTCAGTGTCTCGGTGTCTCCGGAGGAGGAGGAGGAGGAGGAGGAGGAGGAGGAGGCGGAGGAGCGGGAGGGGGAGTCGGAGGAGCGGGAGGGGGAGGAGAAGGAGGAGGAGGAGGACGAGGAGGAGGAGGGGGGGGAGGAGAAGAGAGACCCCTGAGGGGGGGGCCCTTCGCCTGGTCGCTTCGCTCGTGGCTCGAGGCGCGATGATCAGAGGATCTGCTCGTGGTTGCTGTGCCCTGCCTCCTTGGGGTGTCTCCTGAAGGCGCCATCTGTCGCCGCCGCTGGGCTACCTTCGGGGCCCAGACATCATGCACGTTCGAACACATTTCGACGGGAGGGTTCTTCGCTAATTTTTCGCCCAGGAGACGCTAAAAATCTGGTTTGGGCCTCCCCCCCCCTCGCGCGGTCAATCAACTAGTTACAGTAACCAGCAAGAAGCAGAACTGTAACACTGGAAACTACAAGCTACAACTGGTACTGGAAACTGCGAACCCGCGCCTCGCAGCCTGGTGGCCCCACAAGGGGGCCGGCGGATTTTTGGGCCTCTGGGGGCCTTCACGTTCACCGGGCCTCGGGGCCATCAGACAACGATTCGGGACGAGAGAGCGGTCCCCGGGAACGGGGCGAGACCCCTCGGGGTCCACGGCACGGGCAACAATCGTGGCGTCGGGGGTCTTGGCCTGTCGCCGCCGCTGGCTTCGCCTCGGGATTCACCCCGCGAGTGTCGACCACACGTCAGAGTGACTTTGTCGCCAGGGTGACCTCTGCTGCGGGCTCGACGGTCCGGCCCCCCCCCATCGCTGAGCGCGATGCGATAGCCCAGGCCTCCCAGCTGGGGCCCGAGCAGGTGGGGTCGGAGGATCGTGCCGAATCGCCGATGCATCGACGATGCGGCTCGATGTGGAGCCCGCGTGTCCCCACGCCGACGTCGCCGATGCATCGCTGACGTCGCTGATGCATCGCCGATGCATCGCCTATGCATCGCCGGTGCATTGGCGATGCGGCGCGATCCTTCGAGCCCGTCTACTCGGATCCCAGCTAGGAGGCCTCTAGAAAGCAGTTGTGTGCGCGCTTGGGTTTGGCCCCCTATCACGCCCCCCGATTGCCGCGCACCAAAGGTCACGCTTGCCCAGGGTCACTCCTGCCCAGGGTTTCTGTTATACAGCGTGGTGGGAGCACACCTGTGCTTGCACATGTGTGGCACTACGGTGCCATCCACCCACGCCCCGCGCTGGGCCGGGATCTGCCCGCCAGTGGGTGCTCTCTCTCTTTTCTCTATCCCCCTCTTTTTCCCTTTCTCCTCCTCTTCCTCTTTTTTTGTTTTCTCTCTCTCTCTCTCTCTCGCTCTCTCTCTCAGGGCCTCTCGTGCGTGTAGTCGGGAGTGTCCAGGAGGGTTTTCCACTCCGTCCCTCGTGCCTCGGGGCGCACGTGGCAGGGGTCAGCTCTCAGGGAGGGCAGCCGCTCCCCCCTGCCTCGCTCGAGCTTGCAGGCCGCGCGGGGCCGAACCCCCCCTCTTTTTCGTCCACTGGCCCGGGTCCTGGAGCCGCTTCGTGGCGTGCCAGGGTGCGAGGCATGGTCGGGGGCGGCAAAGAGGGGGGTGATGACTAGGGGGGGGTGGATATCATGGCGGGGGCCATGATATTTCCCCAGAGTTCACGGCGACTCTTCTTACTTCATTACGTCTCTGGCCCCCCCGCTGGGCCGCGCACATGCCGCCGGTCATGATTTGCACCCCCCCCCCTCTTGGACACCCCCCTCTTGGCCGCTCCCGGAGGGTGCGAGGCATGGGCTGGGCTGGCCCAGCTTAGCGCCAGCCCGGATCAGCGCGTCCACGAGTTCCGTCCCTGCGCGCTCACGTTGGCAACCCACCCTCCCTCCCCCAGCGGCGTTGCGGGCGAGCGGCTGAGGATGGCTCTTCGCTGCTGCTACCGCTGCAATCCGTGCCCCACTAGCCATGTCATGTACGGATCTTCCTCCATCCTTGTTTTCCGTCCTTCTTCCTAATCCCTTATGGTTTGTCTCTCCATCCCTCCATATATACATCTTTCTTCCTTCCTCCATCCCTTACCATGTCACTCTGATCTCTCTACCTTGTTGATACCTCTTCGAATTTCTCGCTCTGATGCAGCGCGCGTAGCCAAGTGCGGTGCATGCTTCATGCCCACGCATCTGTGATGTTGACAGTTTTCGGCATGGCCTTTCCATAACCACCTACTGGAGCAGCGCGACACGATACGAGCGCACCCGCCCACTCCCACTGCTCACCAGCCGCGCAGCGCACGGCATCGTTAGGCATAGGCTCTGCACTGCTGCGCTACACTGGAGGAGGAGGAGGAGGAGGAGGAGGAGGAGGAGGCGGAGGAGGAGGAGGAGGAGAGGAGGAGGAGGAGGAGGAGGAGGAGGAGGAGGAGGGAGGAGCAGGAGGAGGAGAAGGAGGAGGAGGAGGAGGGGCGTGCTCGACTCTCTCTCTCTCTCTTGCCCCCCCGCTCGCTCCACGGCCCGAGGAGAGCTCGCGCGGGAACTCTCGCGGGCTGGGCACTGCCAAGCGCCCGTCGAAGACGTGGGCCGCCCGCAGCCTCACGGGCGCCTCGGGCAGCCCTCTGCCAACCAGAGATTGGCTGGTCGTCGGCCCGCCCGCACCCTTCGAGCCCGCTCCCTCGCGCGTCCCTCCCCCCCCCCTTCGGGCCCACCCTTCGGGCTCTTCCCTCCTCCTCCTCCTCCTCCTCCTCCTCCTCCTCCTCCTCCTCTTCCTCCTCCTCCTCCTTTCCTCCTCCTCCGGCGCTATTGGGGGCTAGCCAATAGTAGGGGGCCAGAGGACGGATTCAGCTTGTGCCTGCTTCCTTTTGCCTACGTGTGCCCGTATGCAAAGGGAGACTTTCTGGCAGTGTTGTCTGCCAGGGCGTCTTTCGCCGACCCGAGACGGGCGTTCGGTGCTGCCCTTCGGGGGACTTCGGACAGCCTCCTCCTACTCCGCCCCGCTCCCCCTCCGAATCGGCCTTCCCTGCTTGTTCCGTACCTCGTCGTCCCCCTCTCTCTCCCTCCTCGTGCCCCAGCGGTCGTCCTCTCGGCATCTGCTGCCCCCCCCCCTCTCTTCTATTCCTTCTGTCCCCATCTCGGAGGAGGAGGAGGCAGAGACCACCGCCACCGAGAACCCATGGGGGGGGGCCTGCCCCATGGGCGAGAAACCATCGGCGGGGGGGCTGCCCCATGGGCGGTGGTATGCCTGAGCGTCGTCTATTTCTCCTCTGATCATGTTCCTCCGGTCGAGATTTACATCCATATCCACTGCGTCTTAGATGTGTTGGGAAGCGGCGCCGGGGATATTGATAAAGATCCAGCCTCTAGGGGCCGAATTGGTATCCATATCCAGGGCGCCTTACCTCTTCCTCTCCATCGTCATCTAACCTGTCCGTTTCTGCTGTCATAGCCCTCCTATCCGGTGTCATCCTCTCGTCTGATCATCATCCTCCACACCATCGTCATCTACCTCCTCTTCTTGTTCTGATGTGATCACCATGAGACCCATGTTATTCGTCACCCCCCTCTCCGCCCCACTGGGCTCCCACTGCAGGAGGAGGAAGGCGTGTGTGTTCCCAACCGTCCTGTGGTGTTTGTTCCTCGTTTTGAAGAGACAGCGCCCCGCGTCACTCCTCTCCTCCTCCCCCTCCTCCCGTTACTCCCCTCAATTTGGCACACCCCTCACATGTGTCGTGGCCCCATATGGGGCTCCACCGAAGGCCCAAATCCCAGCATTCGCATGCGCCCGCCGCACCCATTTTGGCACACGCCTCACACGCTTCGTGGCCCCATCGGGAGTTCCACCAAAGGCCCACATGCCAGCGTTCGCATGCGCCCGCCAGGCTCAGTTTGGCACACCCCTCAGGCGTTTCGTGGCCCCACAGGGAGCTCCACCGAAGGCCCAAATTCCAGCGTTCGCATGCGCCAGCCGCACCCTATTTTGCACACCCCTCACACGCTCCGCGGCCCCACAGGGAGCCCCAGCGAAGGCCCGAATGCCAGCGTTCGCATGCGCCCGCCGCATCCGTTTTGGCACACCGCTCACACGTTTCATGGCCCCACAGGGAGCCCCACCGAAGGCCCGAATGCCAGCGTTCGCATGCGCCCGCCGCATCCATTTTGGCACACCGCTCACACGTTTCGTGGCCCCACATGGAGCGCCTCCGAATGCGGTGCACACAACGACGGTGTTCACAACTGCGTATGATTGGGTCCTTCGCCAGGCTTATTTTCATCTTTCCTGCCAGCTCGAGTGGCAGTCCAGGGCCAAGCTGGCGCAGCAGTAAACTCGCTTGAGTCGTCCTGTGGACGGCGTGTCCATGCGTCTTGCCGTTTGAGGAGGCGAACGGGGAGGAGGAAGAGGAGGTTTAGAGGAGAAAGGACGGGGGAGGAGGAGGCGCGTGAGGACAAGGCTGAGGAAACATACGAGAGAGGATCAGGACGAGGAAGAGGACGATACTGCCAGTGTGAGCACGAAGCAGAGGAGGAGGAGGAGGAGGAGGAGGAGGAGGAGGAGCAGGAGCAGGAGCAGGAGCAGGAGCAGGAGGAGGAGGAGGAGAGGTGAGCAACAGGAGGAGGGGGAGGCGGGCGGGCGGGAAGGAGGTAAGTGGAGTAGGGTTTGAAGGGCGAGGCGGCCTCGCGCAAGACCGCCCGCCCCTTCCGGCACTCATGGCTCGGACCCCTTTGCCTCGGGAGCGGGCGCTCGGTCGTGGAGCGAGGCTGGCGGGCTGCCAGTGCAGCAACAGGAGAGGAAGCAACGTGGGGAGAGGGAGAATGCACGACGAGGTGGAGGCGACGAGGGTGGGGGGCAGGGGAGGAGGAGGGTGGGGGTGGAGGCGGGGGTGGGGGTGGACAAGAGAGGAGGCGGATGAGGATGAGGGGCGGACCAGGAGGGCGGGGGTGGATGAGGATGATGGTGGGGGAGGATGGGGAGGGTGGGGGTGGACAGGAGAAGGTAGGGCGAGGGCAGGATGAGGGCAATGAGGTGGAGGCGACTGCCCACTGCCACTACGACGCCCCGCTACCATCACAGCTGCTACCACTAACTACCCCTGGCACTATGAAAACCGCTCCCGCCACAAACCCAGCGCCCACTGAGAGTGCCAGTGCCAACACGCACCCATCTCCGTATTTCTTCTATGACCGTATCTGCTCGCAGAACCGTGTGTTGCTGCGTCGACGAACACCCTCCCTTGTATTCTTACGCGCATGCTCATATTGCTCCACGACGATGCGGGGAACCGCTTCCAGACCAAAATGAGTTAGCGAAGGACTCAACCAAATGCAGCTGTGAGTAACGCAGTTGTGAATATCATCTTCGGTGGAGCGCCCCATGGGGCAACGAAACGTGTGAGGGGTGTATGGAAATAGGTACGGCGGACGCATGTGGACGGTGGCACTGGGGCCGTCGGAGGAGCTCCTTATGGGGCCACGAAACGTGTGAAAGGGATGCCGAAATGGGTGTGGGGAACGCATGCGGGAGGTGGCGTTGGAGCCTTCGGTGGAGCTCCCCATGGGGTCACGAAACGTGTGCGGGGTGTGCTGAAATGTGAATGTATGGGGGGCGCAAGTGGATGGTGGCACTGGGGCGTGGAGCTCCCTGTAGGGACACGAAACAAGTGAGGGGTGTGCCGAAACGGGTGTGGGGGGGGACGCATGTGGACGTTGGCACTGGCATCTTCGGTGGAGCTCCCTATGGGGCCACGACACATGTGAGGGGTGTGCCGGAATGGGCGTGGGGGACGCGTGTGCACGGTGGCACTGGGGCCTTCGGTGGAGCCCCCTTCGTGGGGCCACGAAACGTGTGAGGGGTGTGCCGAAATGGGCGTGGGGGACGCGTGTGGACGGTGGCACTGGCGCCTTCGGTGGAGCGCCCCATGGGGCCACGAAACAACGTGTGGGGTGTGGGCCGAAATTGATGCAGGGGACGCATGTGGACGGTGGCACTGGGGCCTTCGGTGGAGCTCTTTATGGGGCCACGCCACATGTGAGGGGTGTGCCGAAATGGGTGTGGGGGACGCATGTGGACGGTGGCACTGTGGCTTCCGGTGGAGCACCCCATTGGGCCACGAAGCGTGTGAGGGGTGTGCCGAAATGGGTGCGGAGGGCGCAAGTGGACGGTGGCACTGGGGCCGTCGGTGGAGCTCCTTATGGGGCCACGAAACGCGTGAGAGGTGTGCCGAAATGAATGTGGGGACGCATGTGGACGGTGGCACTGGGGTGTTCGGTGGAGCTCCCTATGGAGCCACGAAACGTGTGTGGCGACTGCCGAAATGGGCGTGCGGGACGCAAGTAGACCGTGGCACTGGCGCATTCGATGGAGCTCTTTGTTGGGCCACGAAGCGTGTGAGGGGGGTGTCGGAATGGGTGCGGGGTACGCATGTGGACAGTGGCATTGAGGCCTTTGGTGGAGTTCCCTATGGGTTCACGAAACGTGTGAGGAGTGTGCCGAAGTGGGTGTCGGGGACGCATGTGGATGGTGGCACTGGCGCCTTCGGTGGAGCTCCCTATGGGGCCACGAAACGTGCGAGGGGTGTGCCGGAATGGGTGTGGGGGACTCATGGGGACTGTTGCATTGGGGCCTTCGGTGAAGCTCCCTAATATATGGACACGATACGAGTGAGGGTTGTGCCGAAATTGATGCGGTGGACGCATGTGGACGGTGGCACTGGGGCCTTCGGTGGAACTCCTCATGAGGCCAGGAAGCGTGTGAGCGGTGTGCCGAAATGAGTGTGGGGGACGCAATTGGACGGTGGCACTAGGGCCGTCGGTGAAGCTCCCTATGGGGCCACGAAACAGGTGAGGGGGATGGGTGCGGGGGACGCATGTGGACGGTGGCATAGGAGAAGACCTTGGAGCGTGACTACGTCGCAGCAGCGCCAGAAGAAGCTCGACAAAGCAGAGGTGCGTGACAACGCGACACGCGTCTGGATACGAGCCCAATGCCGTAGACGACAACGGTGGCCAGTCGCATGGTGGCACGGGGGGACTTTGTAAGGATCGACCTGTCGTGGATGAGCGCTCGCGACCGTCTCTACCCACAGGACTGGCCCATGAGTGCCCGTGCCTTCAAACATACGCAGATGAAGTGCCGACATCCGCTCAACCAGGAGACGCTTTTGGGCAGTGGCCACGCGGGGTGGAACAAGTGCGGCGAGTGCGTTGTAAAGACGAGCTGCGGGTCGATCCCTCCGAAGGGTGGGGAGCCAGGGGCCTCCTACCGTTCGGAGGCGAGGGGGAACTAAAGTCCCAGCGCTGTTGTGGGGAATCCGTCGCTCCGCTGGGCCGGCGGGCAAGTGGGTGTGGCGCCGGCGCCGGTGCTTTCTGGCCAGCTGCCAGGGAGCCCCATGCAGCTGCGGCGGCTCCGGGCTACGTGAACTGCCGCCGTTCTCTGGCTCCGGCCTGGAGCTGTATGGGCCGACTGCACGTGAATTCACGCAGGCACTCTCGGCACCCTCCTCGGAGGTGGGCCGCGCGCTGCGCGCGCGACCAGCTCGGGTGTTCTGCGCCGGGCATTCGGAAGACTTGGGAGTCCAAGGCACCGAAGCCCCGCTGTCCCGTACAGTCGGCCCGCAGGGTAAGGATAGGTATCCCCTCCCCAGGGTACCCTTGCGTCCTTGCCTCCTGGGTCCATCCTTGGACATTTTCTTTGGTCGCGCCCCGCTCGAAACGCTTCGAAATGTCAGGAGGGAAAAGACGCACAGACACAAGTAATCGTCGATTCCCCAGAAAGTATGGGAAAATATGGGAAAGTCGGGGGGAAGACAGGAACCCAGAAAATATGCAGAAAATATGGGGGATCCTGTTATTTGTGTGTTTTTTATTTGTGTGTGTTGTGAGCCCTTTCAAAATGGGCGTCCAAGGCCCTTCCATCCTTATCGCGCATCCTTATATCCGGGTTGACTGTAGTGCAGGCGCGCACCAGGGCGCCCTTGGCGCCGGCGCGCCCCGGCGCCCGCGGGTCAGCAAGGGGCGGCCTCGAGTCCGCGGAGGTGGCGCAGCAAAGAGGGCTCGGGGGGGCCGTTCTTAAGGAGGGGAACAAACACACAGACACAATTAATCGTCCATTTCCAGAAAATATTGGAAAATATGGGAGGTGGGGGGGAAGACAGGAACCCAGAAAATATGGGACAATATGTCGTATCTTGTTAGTTGTGTGTATTTATTTGTGTGTCCCAGGGCCCCTTCAGTTCTGGGCCCTCGTCCTCCCCTGCGGTCTGACGTCGCGGAAACAGCAGGAGACCTCGTGGAACATCGGCGGCGAGCGAGGGGGGACGTCAAGCTGGGTGCGCTCGCGTCATATCTGACGTCCTACCCCTCCCTCCCATCCCTTACCATGGCGCTGATTTTCTCTATCCGCCGACGCGTGTCGTAGCGGACCTGTGGCTCCGCGCGCGCGTGCGTAGTGGGTGGTGGTGCGCGTGCGTGCGTGCGTGCGTGTGTGCGTGGTTGTGGTGCTGGTGCTGGTGCTGGTGCTGGTGCTGGTGCTGGTGCTGGTGCTGGTGCTGGTGCTTGTGCTGGTGGATGTGGTGGTGGTGGTGGTGGTGGTGGTGGTGGTGGTCGTGGTCGTGGTGGTAGGGGTGGTGGTGGTGGTGGTGGTGGTGGTGGTGGTGGTGGTGGTGGTGGTCGTGCGGCGCGGTTGTGGCGGGCGGATGGGCGCGCGAGAAAGAGGCCCGCGCTGGGGCGAGAACGCCATCCTGAACGACGGAGGCCAAACACCGATCCGAAAATGAGGCCCACGCTACAGCGGGAGCACGATTCGGAACGATTCGGGAGCAGAAATGAGGCCGGCGCCTCAGCGAGAGCAGCATTTTGAAAACAAACGCAGGCGAAAACCCAACTCCTGGGAATCTTGTGTGTAAAAAAACAGTACGCGGGGGGGGGTCGGCTACTTTCAGGCCGCCATCGGGGGAAGAGGGAGAGTAGTTTTCATATTGAGTAATTGTGAAAGGAGAAGGCCACATTTCGGGGGCAATAAACGCTGGGGGATAGGCCTAGGGGGGATGCATCGACTCACAATCGCCCATTGATCACCGATAGGGGCCCGATAGCCCCAACCGGCCCAGGAAGGTGCGGATTCACTATCGGAGGCCGATCGCCGTTCGATCGGCGATGTATCGCCAATTCCAAGTCGATGCATCCCTACCTATGCCAGTCCCCCCTCATCGCTGCCCCTCAGCATTTCCAGATTGCGTGGGGTTCAGATTTCCGTTCGGGCCTCTCCACGCCCCCCTCTCCATGCAAGTCAACTTGTCCCGGGTCTGCACAGAAGCGCATTTTTGGCGGTTCTCATGGATATTCCAGCCCTCCCTCTGCCTCGCCGCTGTCACCACCGCTGCCCTGCCGTGGCCATGTCTCGGCGGCGAGCGAGTGGGGGAAGTGAGAAGGAAAAGGCCTTCTCAGAAGCCGGCGGGACTCTGGAGGCCTCGCGCTTTCTGACGAAGTCCCCCGTGTCTTCCGGGAAGGCTTAAGGGCACTTTTCAGAAGGCTGGGGGACCCCCAAAAGCCTCGTGAGTAGGCCAGGTCCTTATCAATTCCCGCCGGGCGCGCCGCCGAGAAAGAAGGCATATCCCTGGACTCCATCTTCCTGCGCCATTGCTAGATCTGGATCGATGTGTGCTGGTTGCGGGGACTCTGAGCCAGGCAAAAACACCCGTTGTGAAAAAAACAGCAGCACCCGAATCGCAGGGTCCCGCTGCCCCCTCCATCAAGGGGGAGAAACCACCCAAACCACCCAGACCCCGACGATTGGCGTTCCCTGCGCGGCCCTGGGCGTCTACGAAACAGCAAGCCGCCCCCTGGGTGTGTTTGCCAAACGGCTTCGCTCGTCGGGGTGCTTCATCTGGGAGGGAGCCTTAAGCAGGTGGCGAGACATCAGGTGGTGATGTGTATGTACTCCCCACAGAGTCACTGCCGAGTTTGGGAGCACGGGGTCGCCGCCGGGCTCTGTGATTCGGGGACCCACCGGCGATCGGGACATCCTCGAAAGAATACACGAGCCCCAGCCACGCGCAGAGGGGGGTAGCAGGAGGGGAGAAGGCCTCTTAGAAGCACCCCTGCTTCTTAGAAGGGCGCCTTCTAAGAAGCAGCCTCCTTCTAAGAAGCCTTCCCCCCACCCCCTACCCCCTTGTGCGCGCCGCCAAGAGTCCCCGAGCCAGGTGGCGACACAAAATCGCCCGAGAGCCACCGCCGGACGATGTCACCACCACGTTTGGGGACTACCAGTTTCGGGGAACGAAGGATGACATACACATGAATGCTCGGAGGGATCCGCGCGGACCTCCGAGTTCCATGTTTCTGTCGCCTTTCGTTTCCCTACACTGAGTGTGGGGGGGGACTTTTTGCCCTCTGCTCCTCCTCCTCCTCCTCCTCCTCCTCCTCCTCCTCCCTCCTCTCCTCCTCCTCCCCTCCTCCTCCCTCCCCCCCCCTCTCCCCCTCCTTCTCCTCCTCCTCCCCTCGGCTCCTCCTCCTCCTCTCTCCTCCTCCTCCTTCTCCTCCTCCTCCTCCTCGCCTCCTCCTCCTCCTCCTTCCTCCCTCTTCCTCCTCCCTCTCCTCCTCCTCCTCCTCGACCCCTCCCCCTCCCCCTCCTCCCCCTCCTCCCCCTCCCCCGGGGCGCCCCAGGTCGGCGGCGCCGGCGAGCCTCCCGCCGGCGGGAGGGCCCCGGCCCTGGGCCGCCCCGGCAGCCTCCCGCAGCTGCAGGCGCCGGACAAACCCCCGCGCAGGTACGCGCAGAGCGGCCTCAAGATGTCGAGGACCTGGGCGGGGGCGGGCTCAGGCCCCCTCGCGGTGCGGCATGGATCGCGGTTCGAGGGATCGACGTTCGATGGGTCGAGCTCGCGGGCCATCGAAGCACCGAGCAACGTCGAGCAACGTCGAGCAGTGTCGGGCCGTCGAGCCTTCGAGCCGTCGAGCCGTCGAGGCCCGCGCAGCGCGCGCCAGCGGCGCGCCGCCCGGGCGTGGCCGGCCGCCCTCAGTGCGGCCGGCCGCGGTGCGGCAAAATGTAAAAAAATAGGAAAAAAAAAAAGTCCCCAGACTTTTTTGGGACTATGTTTTGATTATTTTTGAGGGTATTTTTATTTTTCGTCGAAAATCCCCCTGTAGGGGGACAGGCCCGACTTAAGGCAAGAGTCACGACGTGCAGTTTGTCATTGTTTTTAAGTCGGGCCTGTTTCGGGGGCGGCAAAGGGGGGGGTGATGACTAGGGGGGGGGGGATATCATGGCGGGGGCCATGATATTTCCTCAGATTTCATGGCGCCTCTTCTTATCTCATTACGTCCCTGGCCCCCCCGCTGGGCCGCGCACATGCCGCCGGTCATGATTTGCACACCCCCCCTCTTGGACACCCCCCTCTTGGCCGCTCCCGAATGTTCTACTACAGGGGGGAAATTAAAAAGTAGTACAAAAATAATCTGGGGACGAGTAGTGTTTTTTTTCGTCCAGAATCCGCCTGCAGGGGGACGCCCGAGCTAACACTGTTTTCGGCCTCTGGTGGCCCTCACCGGGCCGCGGGACCGTCGAGAAACGACTGAGGATGAAAAACCAGTCCCAGGGAAGGGGTCGAGACCTCTGGGGGTCGACGTCCTGAGAAGATCATGGCGTCGAGAGTCTGGGGGGCCGGCTTGCGGCGGGGGCCATCACTAGGGGATCGAAGAATGACGTAAACATAAAAATTCGGAGGCCCACGCGGATTTCTCGGATCCGCGCTGGACCCCCCTGATTGCGCCTCTGGCGCCGCCATTGGCGCGTTCCGCGCGCCAGGGAGGGGGGGTCCAGCGCCGATCCGAGAAATCCGCGCGGACCTCTGGGTTAGCATTGACCTGGACCAGTGGATCTTTTGAAGGTTTGGGACGTCGCGCGTTTCGCGCTGCTGGCGCTGGGTGTTCAGCATCGCACTTGGAAGGGGGGGCGATGCTCAAGTGGGAGGGGAGCAAGGTGTGCGAGGGCGGCGCTCGCGGGCACTCTGGCACTCTGGGACCTGATGGCCGGGGGCCATTGCTGAGATGCGCCGCTTCAAACAGTATAGAGCACTGCTGCTTCCCAGGCTGGTTGGTCCATAGCAGCAGGTCTGCGGCTCGATCTTCTGATACCCGACGATGTCTGCTGCACGAGCGCCAGAAAGTGTTCGGTATCTCTGTGCTCTTGCTCTAGCATTACCACACCTCACCCTTGAAGCGGTTGTGACTGAGGCTGCTGGTGTGCAGCAACACATTCATTGCTAGATTCGAATGCGTTGTCTTTGTAGATGTCCCCATCGGACCTGGACTTTGCTGTCGTTGCAACCCGGTCTGGCTCCTACGATATCGCACAGGGTTGAGCTGCTGGCGAAGCTGATCAGCACGACGCCGCACGAGTCCGCCACCGCGCCCGGGCTGGCGCCTGGGGGAGGGCGTGGGGCGTGGAGGTGGCAAGGTGGAGCTGCGGGGGCTTGCGTTCCAGATTTGCCTACCCAGGCATTGAATGTCTGCACATGCTTACGCTTGGAAAAAAGCCAAATGCGCAGACACTCTGTTGGGCTCGTTGCGCCGCGGCCCTGGTGATGGCACCACAGCAGGCGAAGCAATCGTCACAGATCAACAGTTGCAACCGTTGTGCTGGACACACACACACACACCCGAAGATGCACGTGCGCCTTGCTGATACCTGCCTGCGCCACAAACACTACACCGTGCCAAAACTTGATGAGACCTGTTGAAACTTGCCACAGCCATCCTTTCAGGCTCAATCCACCCGAATGACGCGAGCGGTGAAGACAGAAGTAGAAGCGCTTAAGTTAAGAAGATGTTGCAAGGAGCATCGGAGGAGGAACATGAGGCGGAGGGCGTATAACGAGATGAGGATGATGCTTGCGGCCTAGAGAGGAGGATGCGGCGGACGAAGAGGAGGAGGAGGAGGAGGAGGAGGAGGAGGAAACAACAGCAGAAGGGTGAAGGGGATGCGGCGGAGGAGGAGCAGACGGCGGAGGCGGCGGAGCAGCAGCAGCTCCAGCATCGCGAGCAGGGAACGCAGGTGGGTCGAGGCTGGGATTTGCACCATCGAGAACAACAGAACCCCTAACCCTAATAATACGATGAAGACGTGGCCTCGCTTAGGTCCCCGTCTTCGCATGAGGGATAATCAATGTGGGCGCTTTGGTCTGACACATCTGCAGAACAGACTCCCTATCCCTGATGTTCTTGGCCCTCCTAACTCAGGCCCCTCCCAAAGGGTTAGGGATCCTGTTTTCTGTTGTTTCTAGCTGTGCACGAGCGCCGTCTGGAGAATCGATGTTCGCAGGTCCCAGCAGGCGGTCGACGTAGAGAGATTCGGGCCCTGCGAGGCCCAAATCTGCGCACGTCCACCGCCCGCGGCGGCTCCAGAGCGGAAGTTCCCACGGGCGGTGGAAGGAACCGGAGATGGTAGGCTGCGTTGCATCTTCGGGGGGGCCTCGCCTGTCCCCAAATTTGGTGCCTTCGCTCGTGCCCGACGCGGGCCCGATGCGGAGTCAGCGCAGATTTGGCGTGGATGCGCCGCGGCTTCGACGCGGACCCAGCGCGCTCCACACGCATGCAGCACGGCTTCGACGCGGATCCCGGCGCGACGGGAGAGACTTGCGAAAGTAGGCACGGCCCATAGGAGGCGCTAGGGGTAGGTAGGAGGGATAATCATTATTATCGTATTCCTCTCTGTAGCCGTTTGGGCTCCGGTCTGGAGGACCGGTAACAGCCATACTCAGGTTCCAAGCAGGTGGGAGCCACAGTATACAGGCGATTCCGCGAAGTCCACGAGAAAAGAGGTCCTCCGAAGATGCAGCACGGGGCGGGCTCGGGGGCGGGCGGGCCGGCGGTGAGGCGAGCGCCCGCCGTGGGCGGGAGAGCCGCTGGCCTCCGCAGGATCACCGACAACAAGAAGATCGTGGAGGCGGCCATGCGCCTCTCGACGGCGCTGGGAGGCGGGCCCTCGCCCATCGACCACTGAGCGGCGTGCGCGCCGCGGTCGGCCACCCCTTGCTGCCTTTTTTCACCCCCGGAGTGCTGTGCTGACCGGGTGCTCTACGCGGTCGCAGGTCGCTGCAGCGCAGCCCGCCGCAGCCTGTGCTCAAGCATCGCCGAGAGAGGCTGTGCTGAAGCATCGCCGTTCTGCTCCTCCTCCTCCTCCTCCTTCTCCTCCTCCTCCTCTTCCTCCTCCTCCTCCTCCTCTTCCTCTTCCTCACCCTCCTCCTCCTCCTCCTCCTCCTCACCCTCCTCCTCCTCCTCCCCCTCCTCCTCCGCCTCCTCCTCCTCCTCCTCCTCCTCCTCATCATCCTCCTCCTCTACCCCCCGCCGCCCCTCCCTCGAGGCACCCGAAAGCCGCCCATGCTTCTGATGTCTGCGTCCGGTGTGCCGCTCCTCGGGGTCAGAGACTCGGCCCTGCGCCCGCTCTCGCGCGTGCTGTGCGCGTGCGCTGCCGCTCGCCTCCACCGCCACGCAGCGGGGGGAGGAGGGGGCGAGTCCGCAGGGACGGCTCCAGGGGTGCAGCAGCACTGTCCACGGGACGCCTCGCCTACCACTGTGCCGTTGGTTTGCGTTTTCCCGCTTGGAAGGCAAGGCGACCAGCGGATTCCAATGAGGGCCCAAGAGGGTTGCAGCATGAACCCAATAATCCCCCAATCGGAGTCCAATCGGTTTCTGGCAGACTCAAGGTGGATCGCAGCATGATCGGATCCTGGTAAGGGATCGAAGAGGACCCCGCAATCTGACCAGATAAAAGGGGCTCAGGTCGATAAGGAGGCTCAAGAATTAAGCCGTCACGCGAATTCTAAGGAGCTTGAGCTCGGGAACCATGTGGTGCAACTTATGTGGTGCGATTCACCCTGCGGAACTTGAGATTGTCAATTCCACTGCTCGCGCAATCATCCCACACACCCACCCGCAACTTGGGTTGCCAAACCCATGCGGCGGCGATTGCGATGTCTGCTCGGCACTGGCTGGCGCATCGCTGCGGCCGCGCTAGCCCGCGCATGCTTGCGCACGCAGCGGCCAGCTTGTTTGACTCGACTGACGCCGCCGCGGTGGCGCGGACCGCTGGGCACATCCCAGCGGGCACTTCAATGCGAGTCGATGACTTGGGCGGGCGCGGTATCATGGCAACGTCGACAACGGCAGACACGATGATGATGGTGATGCTGATGCTGATGGTGATGATGATGATGATGATGATGATGATGATGATGATGATAACAATGTTGGTGACGATAATGGCAACGGCGATGGCACGGCCAGTGGTGGCGCCGATGCTGATCACGCCCACGACGATGACGGCGTCCTCGCGTTGGTGATGAAGGTTTTGGAAGACGTTCGACATGTGCGCCCGGCCGATTCGCGAAAATGGCCCGCATGGTAACATTTGGCACGGATCGCGCCCCCCCCCCCCCCCCCGAGCACGCGCGCAAGGGCGAATGATTTCGACATGCGGCGTGCGAGGCCCATTTAGCCGAACGTAATGGAAATTCGTAATACCAAAAGTTGTGGTTTTGTTAAACATCCGCAGGAACGCGAGCGCAGTTGTTTGGGACACTGAAATCGCAACACCATACATCTTATATCTGTTTTCGGACACACGATTTACATATCCTTTGGGACTGTCCGGTGTTTGACGAATTTCGGCACGCGCGCGCGACGACGCGAGCGTGTGCATTTCGCCGCATGTTGTGCAAAGGGTTCTTGCGACAGCACGCGCGCAAGGGCGTTCGAACGTTTTCTCGACACGCGCGCCCGAGAGCCCCGTTTGGTAACATTTTACTAACATGCTGACACCAGCCATCCGCGTTTTTGGAATTCGCAAGAGCGCGGGCACAGGTGTTCGGGATTTCTTTGTGTTGCGAAACCTGGGGTTTTTCATACCCAAAGGATGGGGTTCTTGTTATTTCCCAAGCCGCGCCGAAACTCACTTCCTTTCGGTTTTCATTCCCCGCTCATGTTGAGTTGTGTCATGCCATGGCATGAGATTCGACCGTATGGTTTTTACCACACTATGGTGGGGCATATGATGTTATGGTTTCGTGTGGTCTGTTATGGTGTTTATGGTATGGTACTTTGTGCGATGTTACGAGTTGATATGTTGTGACAAACAATGCTATGTTATGTATGTTCACGGTAAGATATGCCGTGCTACGTGATGATGATTGTCATGGTGGCGATGATGATGTTGATGGTGATGACGTTGATGATGATGACGACGCTGGCGAAGCAGATTCTGAGGATGTCTCTTGCGAGCCGCCAAGGGGTATTGCATTCCTCCGCTCGTGCGCCAAAGCGGGGGGGGTGTCTTGGGTGGTTTGCCTTTTTGTTGCCGCAGCACCCTGCGCTTTCGAAACAGATTTGGAGGATGTCTCCGGCGAGGCGCTGGTTTTCGCCCCCACGGGGGGGGCCGCCAGGGGGTCTTGCAGCCCCCAGTTCGCGCCAATCTGGCGGGGATGCCTCGAGTGGTTTGCTTGTTTGCTGCCGCATCACCCTCCGTTTCCGAAGCAGATTCAGAGGATGTCTCGGGCGAGGCGCTAGTTTTCGCGACGCTGGGGGCATAGGTTGCGAGGATGTTTCGAGCGGCTTGCTTGTTTTGCTGGGCAGACCTCGCCTGCGTTCAACGTAGATTCGGAGGATGCCTCGGGAAACGCGCTGGTTTCGACACCCCAAGGAGTCCCAGATTGTGCGGATGTCCCAGGCTCGTTGATGCTCAACCTCAATGTTTAGACTTGTACTCATCATACACAGAATCATATTCATTCACATTCACATTCACGCACGCTCAGACTCACTCACACTTTGACCCACCCACCTTCAGACTCACGCATAGTTAGACTCATTCGTATTAAGACCCATTCAGATTCAGACTTTTACTAGTCATACTCATTTTCAGATTCACTCAGTTTCAGACTTATACGCATCCACAATCACTCACATTCAGACCCACCCATACACTCGTAGTCAGGCCCACTCGTACTCAGACCCTTTCAGACTCAGACTCGTACTTAGAAGACTCACACTCAGACCCACTCGCACCCAGACTTGCCCATACTCAGACCACTTTCACTCAGACTCGCTCATGCTCTGACTTAAGCATTCTCAGGCCCACTCGTATTCAGATTCGTTCGTACCTAGTCGAACTGACACTCGCACTGAACCTACGAAACCCCGTTTATACATCAAGCCCGTTAATATCAAAACAATTTTGCGTCCACACATTCCTGGCGGACGGTTCCGTGCAAATCGATGCACATATGGGGAGTTCCACGCCGTTAATAATTCCTTGTTTTCGGGACACTCGATTTTGATACCCTCACGAAACCCAAGGTTTTTGAAGGATTCCACCAAGCGCGCGCGACGACGCGCGCGTGTGCTTTCCGTATCATGTGTGTTGGCAGGGGCTTATTGCAAATTGATGATGCTTGATAAACGAGTGCGCACACATACTTGTTTCGCAGAGGATGAGGTTGCGATACTGGCTTGGGCGGGATAATATGGCATCAGATGTCGGATGGACGATGAGGCAGAACCGTATATACCTTGCAATTCGAAACCGGGTACTGTTAAATCCAGGGGGGGTAGATCTCAATACCCTTTTAAAAGGAGAGTATACGTTGTACAAACTAAGAGAAGCAAGTTATATGGTGCAACCTACGTGGTGCAACCAACGTGGCGCAACTGATGTTTGTCAGCTCTTGAGTTGCCAACGCCACTGCTCACGCAGCCATCGCACCCTCCCACACGCAACGTGGTTTGCAAAACCTATGCGGCATCGGTTGCGATAGCTGCTAAACCTTTGGGCCAGCCGCCAAGGGCACCCTTGGGCCAGGGAAGCCGACACCGCGCGAAGGATGGCCAGAAAAGAAGGACGCACGGTGCTGTTACGACATGTGCCCATCCTTGACGGCGGTCTCGTTATACATCATGGTTTCTCTTTCTTTCCCAAGGTCTGCTCGCCGTTGCTCCCCATATGTGCTGCTGCTGCTGCTACTTCAGCCGAGGCGCCTGAGTACAGCACGTGCCAGCTCCCGTGGTGTGACAACCCCCCCTGGACCCCTTGAGGCCACGACGATCGGGCGTCGAGTAATGGGGGGTGCAACACATGCGAGGGTAGCACCTCACCTCTGACGTGGTGCAGTGTACAGATGATTAAGCCCCACCGTCCGTCCAAACTATAAACTCGTACCACCCCAGCCCAACCAGGCATCCGCCCCCCCTCCCCGCCATCCTCCTGAAGGGGCCCCCTGGGACCCGAGAGGGGCACGAAAGGTGCACATTCCCCCCTCCCTTCCCCCCCTCGTCCGCCCCCCCCCCCTCCCCCCCTCGTCCGCCCCTCCCCCCCTCGACAATTACTCAATATGAATACTACTCTCCCTCTTCCCCTGATGGCGTGCTGGGAGTAGCCGACCTCCCCCGCGTACTGTTTTTTACACACAGGATTCCCGGGAGTTGGGTTTTCGCCTGCGTTTTTTTCAAAATGCTGCTCTCGCTGAGGCGCCGGCCTCATTTCTGCTTCCGAATCGTTCCGAATCGTGCTCCCGCTGCAGCGCGGGCCTCATTTTCGGATCGGTGTTTTGCCTCCGTCGTTCAGGATGGCGTTCTCGCCCCAGCGCGGGCCTCTTTCTCGCGCGCTCATCCGCCCGCCACCACCGCGCCGCACCACGCCCCGCCACGCCGCACGCACACCCACCGCCACTTCCACCCACCAACGCACGCACGCACGAACGCGCACCACCACCGCGCACCGCCACCACCACCGCACCACCCCACCCACCACCACCACGCTACACCGCGTCACACCACATCACACGCGCGCACACACAGACACACACGCACGCACGCACACACGCACACACACACATACACACGCACACACACGCACACACACAGACACACACACACACACACACACACCACCACCGCCACCACCACCACCGCCATCACGCACGTACGCACCTGGCCCACCACCAAACCACC